GAGAGGAGTGGGTTTTTGAGTTGCAATGAGAGCTTCTAGTTTTGTTCACCTTGACACTTCGGCTAAAAATGAGCCCAGGTAAGCAGCAGCATCTCATTTGGAAAGAGTGCAAAGTTCGAAAAGTTGGCGCCACACTCACTATCGAACTCGCCTCTGGAGTCACCATCGATAGTAGTCGCATTGAGAGTACAAAATCTGGTAAAGCTGCTGCTGCTTTTGTTTTGTTTGCCTATCATCGTCTTTCCTTCGAAGCTTCGTTGATGGGCAAGCTCTTTACCAGGAGTTATCATTGATTTGCTTACCCATTCTTGGAGACTACCCTTCTACTGCCACTGAAGATATCCAAAGAAGAGAAAGGCAGCGACCATCGATGTCCACAGAAGAGACTGCCGCGGAGAGGCGCGCTCGCCTGCGACGGATGAAGATACTGGCGGACTCGGAGAAGCGCCTCGGTCGAATCATCTACGGAGATAGTGGTGGCGGTGGCGGTGGCGGTGATACTGCCCCAGCCAACTCCTCCGCGGGCAGTAATGGCTCCAGTGAGACCAGCACGGCGACCTCCAGCACTTCCGGCGGTGCCATCACCACCACCACCACCAGTTCTTCCTCGAGCACCAGCAAAGACTGTGATAGCCAGGTGTGGTCGTCAGTCGAAGGTATCACCACCAACACCACCAACAGCAGCAGCAGCAGTAGTAGTGATAATAACCAGCAACACCTGCACCACCACCACCCCCAACACCAGTCACCCAACACTGATCCAAATGTCCATGAGGACATTTCCAGCGCTTCACTTCAACGGGAGATGGAGGCCTTCTTCCAGGTAAGTTCTTGGTTCTATTTTGCAGGCCATTTGCAGGCACATCACTAACTCCTCTGATTTTAGAAAATTGCTCAACAACAGATGCAACAACAGCCCAGCAATGTTCAGCAGCAGGTCCTGGCAGCAGCATCAGCAGCATCAGCAGCATCACTACCACAACCACAACAGCAGCAGCAGGGCGACGATGGAGGGGGCACCCTACCACGGAAGGTCTCCCTCATCTCCTCGCCCATCCACTACAAGACACTGCAGCGCCAGCAGGAGATGAACAACAATGCCGCTTCAATGCTGAGCCTGGCCGGGCAGAACTCGGTGGTGAACCGACTGCTGGTCAGCGCCTGGGGCGGCAGCGGGGGCCTCGGCGGCGGCGGCATCGGGGGCCTCGGTGGTGGTGGCAGCGGCGGCGGCGGCATCGGTGGAGCCGCCGGGAGCGGAAGGGGCGGCGGCGGCGACGATCTGCCACTCCTCCTCCTCCTGGTGGCCGCCGCCGCCTCTGCGCTGGGCGCCAACCTCCCGGCGGCCTTTCTCACATATCAGCTCGCCCGTACGGTGGCCAGTGGTCTGCTCATCGGTGGCTGGCGGTGGCCGTGGGCGTCCTCTACCTCCTCCTCCTCCTCCTCCTCCGGCAGTGTCGCCGACCTCAGCCTAGGTCTGCTCCGGGAGCTGGTCACCTTCATCTTCTCGTATGTGATAGTGCAAGTCATCGCTAGGTGGTGGTCCCTTGCCTGATCCTGATCGATGACCACTTCCTCTATTCTTCCCTCTATCTTTCTCTCACTAACCCCTCCTCTTGTCAGCTTTCTTGTTTTGCTTTACCCTTCTCCTCTTCCTCCTCTCTTTTTCTTTCAGGTGTTTGTTACCCACTTTTAAACTTTGACTCGAATACTTTAAAAGCAGTCAAATCGACGGAAGACATTGGAAAGTGTTTTATTTATTTCTTTTCCGAAGAGAGATGAATGTTTTTGTATTGTATATCAGAATTAATCAGCGGTAGTACTAGAGTGAGGAGGAGAGAGAGGTGAAGAGGGTTCTAATCGTCCTAGAGGGCTGCGGCAGAAAATGAAAACGTTGAAGGTTTGCTTTCCCCACGAAGAGTAATAATTGATGATGAGGGGCAGACGAAAGGACGAAAAGAGGAGGTGGTGCAATAAGTGTTCTTGCTGCTTTTTCTGTTGCTGTTTGTGGGAAGTGCAGGAAGTACTCTACTATTGGAAAGTACAGTACACCGCTTGGTGGAGCGCAAAGACTCTTTGCTAAGACTTATTCCATCTAAAGGAGGACGAAGAGAAGTGAGAGAGGATTAGACGATCAGTCGAGTATTGTGAGTAAGTGTTCTTGTTCTTGAGACGCACCTTGTTCGTGTTGTAGGCGTCCAGATCGGCGTCCAGCTCCTCGGCAGTCACTGCCTTCTTCGGTCCGCTTCTGGTGAAAGAGATGAAGAGATGAATGGAGAAGATGTTTTGGTTGAAGTTGTCGTCGAAGAGAAGTGAAGAGGAGCAAAGTGCGTTGAGGAACATTGTTGGTACAAAAAGTGGTGCGCAGGCATGCAAATGGAAATTGCAAACACAGACGCACACACACAGCGCTTTGTTGTGCTAGCAGTTAGCAGGCAAATTACCTTGGATTTCTCTGCGAGGCATTTCCTCCTCGAGGACCTCGAGCGCGGTTTCCGGCGCCACCGCGAGTGCCGCGGGTGGTCGTCTGCCGGCGAGTTTGTTGTTGTCCACCTCCTCCGCCCGACTGTCTTGCACGGGCGCGCGGGGCACTGGACGCCGCCGCGACCTGCTTCAGGGCTTTGCCAATGCGAGAGGCGATGGACGCCTTGGCCGATGCGGTGACCAGCGGGGTGATGCTCATGGGGCGGCCTACAGTGGAGTGGTGAGTGAAAAGAAGAAGGAGGGAGTACACGAACAGGGTTACAAGGAGGCTTGAGGAGAAGGAGGTTGTGGCGGTGGCTGTAGTGGCTGTGCTTGTGGTCGTGCATTAGAGATCGTTTCGAAATAGCTCGCGTAGTGTTCGTCATCATCGCCAATCATCTGCTGCTGCTGCCATCGCCACCATGACATCATCATCATCATCATCATCAGATCATTCAGTTCAGGGCGGTTCTGCATTGCTCATAGGGTCATGAGAATCAAGGAGAATCCGATTCATCGATCACCACTTTGAAGTGGCAGCAGAAATGGCTGTGTCACCGAAGAGCGGGCGCACATACACACTAGAGTGAGGCGCAGTCTTTGGTCGCAACATCATCCTCATCATCATCATCATCTTAGGCTAGCGAGGTCATCATCAAAGTAGTCACCGCAACACGTAAAGGAAAAGACAAGACTGAAGAATGGAATGTTTACCGTCGAGTGGGACTCCGTTGTACTTCTTCTGAGCCCTGGCCGCGTCAGCCGCGCTGACGTAGACGACGTCGGCCTTTCCGAGCGACCGTCCCGAGGAGTCGTAGTGGACGGCGGCCTTCTTCAGAGTGCCAAACTCGCTGAACAGTTCACGAATGTCCTGGTCTGTTTGGAGAAGGAAAAGGATGATGAATACGCTGCATACTAAGTTCGCAACACAAAGCGTACCTGAAACGCCAAAATCGAGGTTAGAAATCATCAGCGAGGCGGACTTGATCTCACTGCCGATGAACTTGTCGTGCTGCCACTTGTCCAGGCTATTCAGTCGTGGGCTCTGGAAAAAGGCAGTGATTAGCACAGAAAGTTAGAAAGTAGCCGAAGCAAGGCAAGCACACCACTTACCGCTTTCTTGTTGGCGAGATTTGACACCCGGCGATTGCCCACGCCGCCTGAAGCCTTCATCTGTCGGCCGCCGGCGGCGACCTTCTTCACGGGAGAGGCGTTTCGATTTCCTCCTCGACCGCCAACAGCACGTCCTCCAGTGGCTCGTCCACCAGCAGCTCGTCCTCCACTCGAAGCTCGACCAGCTCGGGCGCCTCGGCTTCGAGGGGCTCCGCCGCGCCCGCCTCGCCGGCCGCCGGGAATGCGGTCGCGCTTGATGATGTCATCCAGAGACATGTCAATCTTTTCGGCCATTTTTGTCGGTGTGTGTGTGCGGGGGGGGGGTTGAGGAAATTGCTGAAGAAGAAGTAGTAGTCGAATTGGGTGTGTGCGTGAGTGGCTGGTCGGAACTCCCTACAAAAGTGGGTGACGATGTTTTGGGGGAAGACAATGAAGCCGACAAAGAAAGGAGGACAATGAGCAGAAGCGGCGAGCTCTGTTTGGTGTTATTGGCTAGGACAGAAGTAGGAAGTGACGTGTTCTCAATGAAGATGCTGAAGCCGAAGAATCCAAAATAGAAGTGGGAGAAAGTACGCGCAAACAACACACACACAAAGAACAAGAGCGAGAGAACGACGAGCGTACGCTTTGCCTGTTATCGGCGGCTGCTTCTGCTTCGGCTGCGGCAAAAATTATGGCGGCAGTTGGCTCTCCTGAGACTGCGCGTGCTTTGGCGGCTGCTGCGNCGGTGTGGACACCACTAGTGTTCGCCACTAGGGCGGAGGTAGCGCCACTGTCGTCGCTGTCGTCGGTGCATCATGTGTGTGTGTGTGCACTGCACAAGCAGCAGCAGCAGACCACCTCCAGACGGAAAGAAAGGCTGCTGAAAGAAGAGAGAAAGGAGAGAGGCGGAGGAGAAGTAGTAATCTCCGA